CTGTCCCAATGGCTGAGGAGAAAGTCAGGAGAAGAGGTGACTTTTGGTGCACACGCCGGGGTCTTCAGGCACGCCTCCGGATCCAAAGCGGGCCAGGCAAGGGAGCAAGTGCGGCAAGTGTAGTTACTGGGATGTATAGTTCACCTACAATCAAAGAGCATTCTGAACTCCACCAATGATGGGGAGCCACAGCCCTAGGTAATTTTCAACGGTAAGCAAACAGTATTTTGCCCCCCCCCCAACCAATCATTGATATATATTTTCTGTTCGTGGGAGTTCTGTGTGCCATATTTGGTTCAATTCCATCATTGGTGGAGTTCAGAATGCTCTTTGATTGTAGGTGAACTATACATCCCAGTAACTACACTTGCCGCATTTGCTCCCTTGCCTGGCCCGCTTTGGGTCCGGAGGCGTGCCTGAAGACCCCGGCGTGTGCACCAAAAGTCACCTCTTCTCCTGACTTTCTCCTCAGCCATTGGGACCAAGAGAGAGAGAGAGAGAGAGAGAGGTGGAGATGCCCACCTTTCCTGAAGGTAGGCGCAAAAACAAAGGAGGGAGCGGAGGTGGGAGATAACTCCAGCCGAAGGGGCTCTCTCTCTCTCTCTCGGTCCCAATGGCTGAAGAGAAAGTCAGGAGTAGAGGCGACTTTTGCTGCGCACGCTGGGGTCTTCAGACATGCCTCTGGACCCAAAGCGGGCCAGGCATGGCAGCTCCGCCCCTTGGCCGACCCGCAGATTGGGGAGAGGAGAGGAGGTGGGTGGAGCGCCGGGAATCAGAAGGGAGCCAGTCATGGGGAAGGGATCGAACGCGGAGAACGATTGAGCGCCGGCTCTGCTCGCGCACCCGGTGGCTGGGTGGAGCAGGAAAGAGAGGGGCTAGGCGAGGCTCAAGGGCCCGGCCCCTTTGGGAAGAGGATCGCCCGGCAGCAAGGCAAGAAAGCCGAGGCTCCCCCGGACTGCTAGGGCTGTTGTGAGCTGAGGGGGCGCTCCTCAAGTGGCAGTCGAGGGGCATTTACAGAGGTGCCTCTGCGCCCCTGGAAAAAAAAAGGTGTTCTGCGACCGCTTACTTCGCATAATGGACGAGCCGCCCCTGGATGGAATTGAACCAAATATGGCACACAGAACTCCTACGACAAACAGAAAATATATATCAATGATTGGTTTGGGGGGGGGGGGGGGCAAATACTGTTTGCTTACCATTTATTTATTTATTTATTTATTTATCGTGTCATCAGCAACCATACCATTGTGTTACAATTCTAACAGAGCAAAACAAACACACAGATTTAAAAAAAAACAGATTTTGCAAACTTGGTAGTTGGTTAAATGTCCTTGGACCAGTATCTGGCCATTTGGAGTGCCTCTGGTGTTGCCGCAAGGAGGTCCTCCCTTGTGCATGTGGCAGGGCTCAGGTTGCATTGCAGCAGGTGGTCTGTGGTTTGTTCTTCTCCGCACTCGCATGCCGAGGATTCCACCCTGTAGCACCATTTCTTAAGATTGGCTCTGCACCTCGTGGTGCCAGAGCGCAGTCTGTTCAGCGCCTTCCAAGTTGCCCAGTCTTCTGTGTGCCCAGGGGGAGTCTCTCATCTGGTATCACCCATGGATTGAGGTGCTGGGTTTGGGCCTGCCACTTTTGGACTCTCGCTTGCTGGGGTGTTCCAGCGAGTGTCTCTGTAGATCTAAGAAAACTATGTCTTGATTTAAGTCGTTGACGTGATGGCTGATACCCAAACAGGGGATGAGCTGGAGATGTCTCTGCCTTGGTCCTTTCACTATTGGCTGCTACTTCCCGGCGGATGTCAGGTGGTGCAATACCGGCTAAGCAGTGTAATTTCTCCAGTGGTGTAGGGCGCAGACACCCTGTGATAATGCGACATGTCTCATTAAGAGCCACATCTACTGTTTTAGTGTGGTGAGATGTGTTCCACACTGGGCATGCATACTCAGCAGCAGAGTAGCATAGCGCAAGGGCAGATGTCTTCACTGTCTGGTTGTGATCCCCAGGTTGTGCCAGTCAGCTTTCGTATGATGTTGTTTCTAGCACCCACTTTTTGCTTGATGTTCAGGCAGTGCTTCTTGTAGGTCAGAGCACGGTCCAGAGTGACTCCCAGGTATTTGGGTGTGCTGCAATGCTCCAGTGGGATTCCTTCCCAGGTGATCCTCAGAGCTCGGGATGCTTCTGTTCTTGAGATGAAAGGCACATGTCTGTGTTTTAGATGGGTTAGGGATCAGCTGGTTTTCCCTGTAGTAGGCAGTAAGAGCACCTAGAGCTTCGGAGAGCTTCTGTTCTACAGCCTCAAAACTCCCTGCTTGAACAGTAATGGGAACCAGTATTAAAAAAATTCTAGAATTGCAACAGCAAAAACAGCAGAGAGAAAAACAGGCAGAGACATCTAATCACCTTTCAAGAAGAGTTTGCTCCAGGCACAGTCAGCCCATTGTATGCTAATCAAGGTGGTCAGTTGAAAGATTCACACCTAGCCCAACTTACAAAAGCCCTTTGTCTCGCCCTGGTCATTCCACAGATATATAAACCCCTTTTTTCCCAGTTCCAGCAGACCTCACCTCTGAGGATGCTTGCCATAGATGCAGGCGAAACGTCAGGAGAAATGACTCTAGAACATGGCCATATAGCCCGAAAAAACCCACAAGAACTGAGAGATTAGGAAGGTTGAGAAACACTGCTCCACAGGAAGGAAATGCGGGAGGATCCCCACTGAATCTCAGCATAATATGAATGAGTGAAAGCAAGGACGCCTGGCGACTGGGCAATGGCATAGGCAGCCTGAGCCAACCTTTAAGGCAGTGGTTCTCAACCTTGCTGATGCAGTGACCCCTTAATACCGTCCCCCATGTTGTGGTGACCCCCAACCATAATATTGTTTTTGTTGCTACTTCATAACAGTCATTTTCCTACTGTTATAAATCATAATGTAAATATCTGATATGCAGGATGTATTTTCATTCACTGGACCAAATTGGGCACAAATACCCAATGCACCCACATGTAAATGCTAGTGGGGTTGGGGGAGGATTGGTTTTGTAATTTGGGAGTTGTAGTTGCTGGGATTTATAGTTCATCTATAATCAAAGTGCATTCTGAACTGCACCAACGATGGATTTGAACCTAATTTGCCATACAGAACTCCCATGACCAATGGAAAATACTGGAAGGGTTTGGTAGGTATTGACCTTGAGTTTGGGAGTTATAGTTCACCTATATCCAGAGAGCACTGTGGACTCACACAATGGTAGATCTGGACCAAACTTGGCACAAATACTCAATATGCACAAATGTGAACACTGGTGGAGCCTGGGGAAAACAGACCTTGACTTTTGGGAGTTGTAGTTGCTGGGATTTATAGTTCATTACAATCAAAGAACATTCTGAACTCCACCAACGATAGAATTGGCTCAACTTCCCACATGGAATCCCCATGACCATCAGAAAATACTGTGTTTTCTGATGGTCTTTGGCGACCCCTCAGGGGTCCCGACCCCCAGGTTGAGAAACACTGCTCTAGAACATGGCCATATAGCCCGAAAAAAACTACAACAACCCATTTATAGTACAATCCATAATAGTAGGAAAATTAGAGTTATGAAGTAGCAACCAAAATAATGTTATGGTTGGGGGCAGAGGCGGCCCTAGGTAATTTTCAAAGGTAAGCAAACAGTATTTTGCCCCCTCCCCCAACCAATCATTGATATATATATTCTGTTCATCGTTGGAGTTCTGTGTGCCATATTTGGTTCAATTCCATCATTGGTGGAGTTCAGAATGCTCTTTGATTGTAGGTGAACTATACATCCCAGTAACTACACTTGCCGCACTTGCTCCCTTGCCTGGCCCGCTTTGGGTCCAGAGGCGTGCCTGAAGACCCCGGCGTGTGCACCAAAAGTCACCTCTTCTCCTGACTTTCTCCTCAGCCATTGGGACCAAGAGAGAGAGAGAGAGAGATGGAGATGCCCACCTTTCCTGAAGGTAGGCACAAAAACAAAGGAGGGAGCGGAGGTGGGAGATACCTCCAGCCGGAGGGGCTCTCTCTCTCTCTCTCTCTCTTGGTCCCAATGGCTGAAGAGAAAGTCAGAAGAGGCGACTTTTGGTGCACATGCTGAGGTCTTCAAACACGCCTCCGGACACAAAGCGGGCCAGGCACGGTGACTCCGCTCCTTGGGGAGAGGAGACGGGTGGAGCGCTGGGGGATCGGGAAAGGGAGCCAGTCATGGGGAAGGGATCGAACGCGGAGAACGATTGAGCGCCGGCTCTGCTTGCGCACCCGGTGGCCGGGTGGAGCAGGAACGAGAGGGGCTAGGCGAGGCTCAAGGGCCCGGCCCCTTTGGGAAGAGGATCGCCCGGCAGCGAGGCAAGAAAGCCGAGGCTCCCCCCGGACTGCTAGGGCTGTTGTGAGCTGAGGGGGCGCTCCTCAAGTGGCGGTCGAGGGGCATTTACAGAGGCGCCTTTGCGCCCCTGGCAAAAAAAGTGTTCTGCGACCGCTTACTTCGCGTAATGGACGAGCCGCCCCTGGTTGGGGGTCACCACAACATGAGGAACTGCATTAAGGGGTGGCAGCATTAGGAAGGTTGAGAACCACTGCTCCAGAGGAAGGGAATGCGGGAGGATCCCCACTGAATCTCAGCATAATATGAATGAGTGAAACAAGCAAGGACGCCCGGCGACTGGGCAACGGCATAGGCAGCCTGAGCCAACCTTTAAGGTAACCTTCACTCGTCTTTCCCCGCCCTTTCTCCCTCTTTACAACAGGCTATGGAGAAGGATGGGACCTTTCTTTCTGGAGGGGAGGGCGACTCAGGGAGACAGAAAGAGGCAGAGAGGACCCTTCCTTCTCTTTTCCCAGCCTGGCTCTCCCCACGAGCGAGCGCTCTCTCTCTCTCTCTCTCTCTCTCTCTCTCTCTCCCTGGGTGCTTTTTTTTCCTTTCCCTTTTCTTAATGAGTGCGGCCTCCCCGGCAGCCAATCAGGAGCCGAGGTGGGCGTGGCTACGGCGCTGCCCTGCTGAATGAGCAGCAGCTTCCCGGGAGGCGGCAGAAAAGGGAAGGAAGGGAGGCAAAGAGGAGCGCGTCCTCCTCCCGTGGGTCGTTTCTCGTGCGGGGAGGCAGCCTTGGTTGAGCAACAACCCAAACTTGACTGGTGGCACTTACTTACTTAGGAGTGGGCAAGGTCAAAGTGGCAGCGGAGTCCTCCTCCTTCTCCTCTCACCTTCAGGAAGATCTGCGGGGAATCCTCGCGCGGGGAAAGAGCAAGGAAGGAAGAGAAGGGGACGGGGCTCTCTCTCTCTCTCTTTCCGGCGCCCCTTCCTCGCCCCAGGCCCCCGCCATGCGGACAGCGCTCTTTCTGCTCCCGTGGACCCTCGCCTTGGCTCACTTCGTGGACTCCGGTAAGAAAGCCCTTCTGAGACCCAAAGAGCAACTTCCCTGAGGACGGGCAGCAAGGCTTAGAGGCTAGACACTCCCAGGAAAGGGGGGCAGCCCAAGGGGAGGGGGTGCCTCAGGGTCCCGTCTTCTCCCGGGAGGTTCCCGATCTCCAGCGAAAGGTCGTCAGGGAGAAGGGCGATGGAGGCACGTGGGTCTGGCTTTGGGGCTCTCCCTTCAAGGAGGGAGAAGGGCACCCTCAAAGGGAGTGGGACTGGCCAAGAGTGGGGCGCCCTTTCCCTTTCCAGCGGCGCTTTGGGCGCGGGCTGCGCGCGGGTGACCTTGAAGAAAACTCTCCCTCCGATCTTGCGGGTTTTGACGCAAATCACCTCTCGGGATGAGAAGAGAGAGAGAGGCAGAGAGAGAGGAGGAAGAGAGGGCTCTCCTCCTTCTCCTTCCCTCCTTCTCCTCCTTCTCCATCCTCTTAGGCAGACCCTCCACTGCGGGTGGGTTTTCCCCCCCGTCTCTTTTCTCCCCCGAGGCTCACCTTGAGCCGCCTCTCTCCGCCTCTTCTTCCTCCTCTCCACCCAAAGCGCCTTCCTTCTTTCATCCCTTCTTCCTACCTTCCCTTCCCTTCCCCTCTTTCCTTCCTTCAGTCCCGCAACTCGAGCCGGAGCTTTGCCACCTTCCCACTTCGTTGTCATTCCGGGCTTGTTTCAGGATTTCAGGCTTCAAACGGGGAAGGCAAAGCTTTGGCGGGAGGCACACATTCCCAGTTGGGCCAATGCTTCCAACTAGCATTGCCCACCCCACCCACTCAGTATCCCCCCCCCCCACCATTGGATCCATGGGTGGAGAATCCGACGATACATAGGGCCAAGTATACATATATAGGTGTTTTTTCTTTTCTTTTTTTGTCGTGTCAGGAGTGACTTGAGAAACTGCAAGTCGCTTCTGGTGTGAGAGAATTGGCTGTCTGCAAGGACGTTGCCCAGGGGATGCCCGGATGTTTTTGATGTTTTATCATCCTTGTGGGAAGCTTCTCTCATGTCCCCGCATGAGGAGCTGGAGCTGACAGAGGGAGCTCATCCCTGCTCTTCCCGGATTCGAACCTGTGACCTGTCGGTCTTCAGTCCTGCCAGCACAGGGGTTTAACCCACTGCGCCATCGGAGGCAACCTCCTTGCAGACGGACAATTCTCTCACACCAGAAACAACTTGCAGTTTGTCAACAAAAAAACTCCAAACCAATAGATAGATAGATAGATAGATAGATAGATAGATAGATAGATAGATAAAAGTAAAGGTTTTCCTCTGACATTAACTCCAGTCATGTCCAACTCTGTGGAATGGTTCTCATCTCCATTTCTAAGCCAAAGAGCCCGCGTTGTCCGTAGATGCCTCCAAGGTCATGTGGCCAGCATGACTGCATGGGACACTGTTACCTTCCCACTGGAACAGTACCTATTGATCTACTCACATTCGAACTGCTAGGTTGGCAGAAGTTGGGGCTAACATTGGGAGCTCCTCCCACTCCCCCCTCCCCCCCGATTCGAACCACCAACCTTTCAGTCAGCAAGATCAGCAGTATATGACTGCATGGAGTCGTACTCGTGATCTATTTTGAAATGGATCAAATAAATAAATATTATTATTATTATTACTTGACTGCATGGAGTGCCATAACCTATTGTTCTAATCACATTTGCATGTTTGCAAACTGCTAGGTTGGCAGAAGCTGGAGCTAACAGCAGGAGCTCACCCTGCTCCCCAGATTTGAACCAGTGACCTATATGTATACACACACACACACACACACATATATATATATAGTTTTCAGTGGCAGCTTCCATTCTCCCCAGATCACAATCCAAAGTGATGTGAATAAAGAACAACATTCAGAAAAACAGAGGGATTCCAGATGCAGAGAAGCCATTGAAATCCACAAGCATGTGGACAATTTCAACAGAAAGGAGGAAGCCATGAAAATGAACTCAATGTGGCTACCAGTATTTTAAAAAAAATCTAAAATCAAAACATTAAATAAAGAGCAACACTCAAAACAGACAAAAAACAATCCGCGCCAGCTAAACAGACAAGAAACAATCAGGGCCAGCTAATCACCTCCGTGCAAAGGATTTCCCCCCAGGCAGTAAACAGCCAGGCTTTGAAGTTGCAAGGCTATTCAATGCTAATCAAGGTGACCAATTGCAACATTCACACCTGCCTCAAATAGACAAGAGTTCTTTCTCCCACCCTGAACATTCCACAGATATATAAACCCCAATTGCCTAGTTTCCCACACACCTCACAACCTCTGAGGGTGCCTGCCATAGATGTGGGTGAAACATCAGGAGAGAATGCTTCAGCAACATGACCATACAGCTTGGAAAACTCACAGCAACACAGTCGTTCTGGCCATCAAAGCCTTCGACAATACAAAAGTGATGTCAGCTGTTGAATAATACCTGGGGAAGCCAAATTAGATAAAAACTAAAGAGCACCAACCAAGAAGATTGTGTGTGTGTGTGTGTGTGTGTGTATTCATTCATTCTGCCAGCCTAGCAGTTCACAAACATGCAAATATGAGTAGATCAATAGGTACCACTTTGGCGGGAAGGTAATGACGCTCCATGCAGTCATGCCAGCCGCATGACTTTGGAGACGTCTACGGACAATGCCAGCTCTTTGGTTTAGAAATGGAAATGAGCACCACCCCACAGAGTTAGACACAACTAGACTTAACGTAAAGGGGAAACCTTTACCTATATTGATTCTGATCTGGGGATAATGGATGTTGTCATTAAAAATGTACCTGTGGCTCTGAGTTTAGAAACCCGATTTTCCTGACTAAAGCAAACAAACTGCAGGCTTCCAGGTGTCACAGTATCACAACTCCCCTCCTCTCTAGAGCTCATCACACTAGATAATGAATCCACTTTAAATCCGGTTTCTGCCTCCTGCAGAATTCTAGGGTGAGGCTGTTAAAGTCTCCTCCCTAAACTACAAACTCCAGAATTCTGCAGAAGGCAGAAACCGGATTTAAAATGGATTCATTCTCTAGTATGATGAAGTAGAGAATGAGAAATACAGAAGTTGCAGTCCAGCTTCTGTAGGGTTGCATCAAATGACACAGCGGGCCAGATTTGGCCCGTGGACTGAGCTGTAAAGGCTCATTCTCTCCCCTCCCCACTCTGTCCCAACATGATGAGTTCTGGCTATGGTTGCTCTCTAACAGTGGGGATGGTTGTGGAACTCAAGGGCACTCAGCACATGCTCAGAGTTAGGCTTCGTGTACCTTGCTACCAGCAGGTACTGTGCCTGATAGGCTGAGCTTACTGTATATGAGACCAACAGAGCTGGCAAGCCTTGGGGGAGAAGCTGTGGGTTACTTGTGGCGCCCAAACTCTAGGCAAATTCCCCAAGAGGCTTCCTCTCTTCCAAGGAGAGCTGCTAGCCTAGAAGGCACTCAGTGGTTGACTGACTGAAGCAGAAGACGGGAAGGAGGCACATTTCTCCGCTAGTCGGCAGGCAGCTCAATCCGCTGGGAAACTTCACTAGCTGCGAGCGCCTTTGGGAAGAAATAGGAGCTGCAGCTGGAAAGCAGAGGAGTTTCAGTGACAGAAAGTGACAGCCTGGGCTTGGTGGTGCTGGACCGAGGGGTAGATCCCGGCCCACCTCCTGTTCAGCATCACCTTCTTATTTCCACAGTCTTGCAGTGTGGCCAGGCTGCCTCCAAACAGAGAAGCATCCCGAGCCCATCCTGAGAAAGGGTCACAGACAGAAGGAGCACCTGCACAGTTTCTCCCTGCTGTGTGTGGCATGGAAGTGGTTCCTTTGGGGGGAGAAGGGGTGTTCCTGCTGCGCTGGCAATTTAGTTGAGCTGGCCGGGCACCCTGGCTCATCTGCTGTCAGATGCCTTCAGTGGCAGTGATGGGAGCAGAGAGAGGTGCCCCTGGGGTAGATTTCGTGGGCCCCAGGACGTGGAGGGCGGGAAGCAGAGGTGTCAAGGGGATGACTGAGTTCACACTTACACGCCTGGCTTGGTCCTGGCCCCCGGCTACCACTTCCCTTTGCAGTAACACTAATGATTGCTGAGTGGTTGTGGCGCTCTTGCCCTGGGGTGCCTGCTCCTTGCTGGCATTGAATCAACCTCTGTGCGGAGGGCGGGTGGGGGGGGGGGGYGAGAAAGAGAGAGAACGGGGCCGTGTCTAATAATGGTGTGTCTTCAGCCAGCAGCTAGAGGCAGCAGCCAGAGTATAGGAGAATAAGGCCGAGGGGGAGGAGAGGGGGAGACGTGGAGCAGGACAGAAATAGTATTTCAAATGTGCTGAGCTTGTCTTCTTTGTACGTATATATCTGTATGTGACCAACCAATGTGAAGAAGAGGGAGCAAGCAGAGAGTTCCTGATGTATTTTTACTTTGGGGCCTGAATAAGACCTCTGTACGATTCAAAAGTTGGCAATAATAATAATAATAATAATAATAATAATAATAATAACAACAACAGTAATAATAATAATACTTTATTTATACCCCGCCACCATCTCTTCAAGGGGACTTGGGGCGGCTTACATGAGGACATGCTCAGCAATATAGTAAAACAATGTAACACAAGAACACAACAGAAAATAAGAAAATAAAAAATGACATAACATAAGATGCAAAAACCAGTATAAATAAACAGATCAACAATATAAAATTAAAACACAGAAAATTGATCACAGTGGGCAGTGCCAATTGCAAAGATTAAAATAATAATAATAATAATAATAATAATAATAATAATAATAATTTATTTATATTCTGTTTTATCTCCCCAAAGGGACCCCTACTTACTTACTTAGGTGATCCCTTGTTGTCCGAGTAGGATAGTCTTCCAAGATCGGTGTACTGGTGGTGGGTCCATAGGTGACTGTTGAGCCCTATTCTTGATCTGCATGTTCTCCCACAGTGAGGGCATTGGTTTCCAGGTGGAAGGTGGTCCCAGTTGGGGTTGGCTTGATGTGCCTTTCTCTTGGCATGT